GAACCAAAGGGTTCGACGAACCGCCTGCCCAACTCTCGCCGGGACTTGATGCTCTAGAACTAGAAAATAGAGTTCATGCCAAAAGAAAGCTCTATTTACTCTATTACATCTTCAAAAGTTGCCTAAACCAGTACATCAAGTCATATATACCACCAATACCCGAAAGTAAACCCTAGAAAAGCTGATAACTATAACCACCACGACAAATATATACATCTTACTAGTCAACTTATAACAAGTACAATTCAACTATTCTATCGCCAAAAGTCTAACCACCTTCTCGAGCGATCCCCACGTCAGCCCCCTGTTGATAAAGTTTGGCATGAAAAACGATACAAGTTACTGAGCTTGACCGTCACAGTCTCAAGACACAAGCTTGCAAGGATGATCCTTCACCTCTCCTTGAAATTCTTGGTTCCTTAAGCTTCCCAAGCTTCCAACTAGTGATTAATCGGTTTAGTTTTTCTTGGTTGCACTCAAGAGATTGGATTCAAGGTAGAAGATGGAAAACTCTCCTTACTCTCTTCCCCCTCCTTGCTCTTGGCCAAACTAGAAAAAAATGAGGAAAAAATGGACTCAAATGGAAGATAAGAAGATGAGACTTTGTCTTAGCTAAGGAACCATAGGTGGTTGACACTTGTCACCACCAAAGCCTTCCAAGTTTCTCTTTCTTTTCCTTGCATTTTGGCCACAATTTTCAGCCATATGGATGAGGATGAGGGGGGATATTTTGCAAAAATATCAAGGGTATGTGGTGGTAGGGGGTGGTGGTCAAGTGGTGGGTTCAATCGGTGGTGATCGATACCCGTCGGTTCGAGCCGATTTTTCTTAAACCACGTATACTAGGGTTTTTAACTTCTAATCACTAACTTATTATTATCACTTCTAATCATATAATATTTTCTCATCCAAAAGTCACTCTTACCTACCAAATTTGATTCTCACTCTGTACCGAATAGTCACACTACGGAAAAACGTGAAAACCCTAATTCGCTCTAACTTGAAAACGGACAACGAAAACCCTTACTTCTATATTTATTTACACTTATTGTGGTATGATTGGGTAGTAGGGCTATTATAAAATCATAAATTCCAAATAAAAGGGGATTTTTAAGAAATACGTGAGGGGTTTTACAATTTCATAAATTGAATGTAGGGTTTCGGTTAAAATATGAGAAATTTGATAAAACGGTCAGTCACAAGTGAAACTAGGGTTTTGATTAGACTTTTAGGGTTTCTAGGCTTTTAAAATAAAACAAGGTTTTAAATCGAACCCAAAGAAATAACTTTAGTTTCTTCTTTAAAACAAAATAATGTTTTAAAATAAAAAAAAACTAAAGAAACCGTAATATCCTGTTTGAGACTAAACAAAAAATGATCCTAAAAGTTGGAGTATCACACTCTAGGCCTGATCTGACACTTAATCATCAGTAATGGAGCACGGGCTGCCCTCCACCTTGACTATTACTAGGGCTGCTAGGTCCGTCCATCCTACACAAAATATAGATAAAACTTAAGCACACTTAAGGAAAAATGATCAAATGAAATCTTAAAGTCAAAAAATTCTAATACGCCCAAACCAATTCAAACTTAGGCTCTGATACCACTTGTGACAGCCCCACCTCTCCCTAGGGCGAACCCTAGGGTATCAGCGGACTGCCTACCTAACTCTCGTCGGAGCTCAGTCGAAGAAAGAACTAGTAACTCAAGATAACTAATGAAATATCTTCAAAGAAAGGAGTACAAACCCTAATGGAAATATAAGTTGCCACACTACTTTTCAAAACTTAAACTATAGAGTTAAGTATCAAACTTACAATTTCACACTTAATTTACATAATATACATCGAACTTACAATTCACGCTTACAATAGTCAAAAATAAGGTCTTCTAAACAAGAGTTTACAATCTAAAGTACAAGTTCAAAACAAAAGTTAAAACTATAAAAGTTCTTGACCATAGTTCCATCCCCGATCTGTTAAGGAAAACAAAAGGAGTGGAGTGAGCTAATGCTCAGTGAGGTTCCAAATAAACATGTAAGTACATAACCAACTAAAGGTGTAATATAAACAAATAACCACCGTATTGTACTATAACAATTAAAGCACAGTTCAATTCAAGGATACAGGTGACTTTCAAAAGCCAAATTCACTTGAGTTTGATCATAACAAGAATCCGTTGACTCTCCGTCAACGTTTGCGTTCAAAGAATACAATGTCTGTAGAGTATCACTTACTCCAATTTCCGTTACCAGTCAACCTCCTTACCGGGCCCGAACACCACAAACAGTAATTAGGTAATACTCGAATATACCGGATCTAGATTCAGTAAATAGCCATCAGGATTTATCGGTCTTCTCGACCAAACCCTTGCTAACTCGATACAACCGATTTACCTATGAGGTTGGGTACCCAAACAGTCACAATAGTTGCTAGGATGCCACCCAAACAACTCACATAGAGTCAAATATAGAGAAATCACATCTCATAATAGCAGTATATAGAGCCTCAATGAAATCAAAGACGGTCAAGTGTGATAAAGTACACACTCGCCTCAAATTTGTCAAAACAATCATTTAGCTCAACCAGTCATAGATCAAGTATTCAGATATTTCACATAGACAGATAACAGGTAATGGAACACTCACCTGTCAAGAACTGTAGAGTTCAAACGTCAAGTTCCTTAATTACGTTCACATCCGTTTCCCAATCCTAGGGTAACGAGTGAAATCGTTAACAATCTAAATTCATTTCCAACCCAAATGTTAACTCATTAGGTGACCAAGTGAGTGGTTAAATCTACTCAATTCACCATGCAATTTAGGCCCAAAATGCAATAAAAGGTCATAAGAAAACAAGTTTGACAAGTGCAAGAAAGTTGAATAAAAGAAAATTCTCATTCAAGTTCAAAGTCTTCTCTTGCGGGTAAAATAGTCACGCCCATGCAGTTCGAGGAAAACGGTCATAGTTCACTGTAGGAAAGTCAAAATCATGTGCCGTTAGCAGCGTTGGAAACTAGACTCGAAGGGCTTTCCAACGGTACCAAATGTAGACTCTAGTTCCTCTCCTATCAATACTAGTGATCCAGGGAAATTGGCTGATTTTTAGGTTCTGATCAGCTCAAAAGTCTAACAAAAAATTACTCTATTTCCTCTTGCCAACTTACTTGTTTTGGCTCAAATTCATCCAATTCAACCTCCTAGAGTTCATATACAGGGGATCATGTTACCTAGTACTATTGAGCTTAAATGCAACACACCAAATGATCAAGTAAACTAAAACAGTCTAGCCAACAACAAGAACCAAAACAGTCCACTAGTGCCCAAAAACAACCACTTTACTTGCTTTATTTCCATTTCAATTCACACCAAACCTTAAACCAATGTTTAGCTAAGATTCCTAGGCTTAATTAAGGTGCAAATGAACCACAAAATCAAGGAGAAACCTCCCTTCCAAAACCGGTCAGCCAAGAGAGAGCAAAACAGTCCACTAGTTCACTTGCATCATCAACTTTCATCCTTTCATGAAGACTAACTTAAACATCATACCAAGTGTTATCCTTAACTCAAAAAGGATCCAAAACATGTTAATACATCAAGAAAATCATAAACAAAACTTTAACAATTAATCAAACACTATGGTAGGCTAAAAACCAACCCTACTACCACTTGTTTAGTTCAAGAAATTTAACTATAAGTAACATCCATACAACTCTTAGTTTACCATCAAAACTTTAAATACTTGATATAACACCATAAAACCAAGAGTTAAGGATCATATACCTCTCTTATAAGAAGCTTGAATCACCCAAAATAACAACCAACCAAAAGCTCCAAACTTGAAATCACACACTAGGGTTGAAGGTCATTCACTCCACTAATTCAAATCCTTCACTTTTGATTTTTGCTCAAGATCAAGTTAGGGTTTAAAAGGCATGAAAGGAGTTTTCTCTCTTCCCTTGGAAACTTCAAGGTGGCCGGCCAACATGAAGAAAAATGGAGCCAAGAATGGTTTAAATTTCCTCTAATTCTTTGGTCAAAAAGATTGAATGGCTAAGGTTTTGCCACTTGTCTCAATCTTGATCATTCTCTCTCTAATCTTTGTCAAATCGTGTTTCTATCCTCCAAATGTTTCCAATGTCTTATTAACACTCCTAAACTATCATATAAAGTTCCAAACACAATAAAAAAATATTTGGTCATAGAGTATGCGATGAAATAAAATAATACCAAGTAAAGGAAATGTTTTAATTTAAGTAAAAGATAATAAAATGCAATGCAAGGGAAATGTTATAATGCATGTAGAATGCAATGCAAGGACATATTATAAGTGATTTAGTTTTAGAGTAATGCAAGTAACTTGGGAGAATTTGTATTTTAAAGCGAGGGTTCTCACAAGAGAGGGAGAGAAAAAGCAAAAAAAAAAAAAAAGAAAAGGAAATACCATGGCTGCAAGTTCTCTGGCATCGGGAGAGAGAAGGGAAGGGGAGTAGAGGGGAGAGGGAGCAGAGGGGAGAGAAAAAGGAAAAACAATTTTGGACCATGACTGCTGGTTCTTCAACGTCGGAGGCATGGGTGGCGGGGGAGGGAAGGGAGAGGGGGAAAGAAGAAGAATAAGAAGAGAGGAAAGAAAAAAAAGAAAAAGAAGAGAAAGAAAAAAAAAAGAAAAGGAAAAAAAGTTTCTCGTATTGAAAAATTTTTTCAAAAACTTATACAGTATACTACAGTAAATTTTAAACAAATTTCTAAAAAACTCATGTTCCAGACAGGGCCTAAGATCCAAACAATATAAAATCCAAAACCAAGAAACATAATAAAAAGGCCCAAATTAAACCATGAGATAAAAATAAAAAAAATTAGAAAACGGCCATAAAACCATAACAAAGGGATTACATTCTAGGTTATTTTAAATCACGAGATTAATAGATTTAGATAATATCATAATATAAGGCCCGGCCCCGAGCGATTAGTCTTAATTACCCCAAAAATTGCATCTGTTCTCCAGTCTCCTCAGACTTAAAACCACTCTCCAGAAGCTTCTGTGCCAAAGCTTAAACCCTTTAAACTCCCCACCGCTTCCAACGATTTTCGGACTGCACTCCTAAAACCCTACTCCCCCATTGCAGACCTTTATTTCTTCTCGCACGATCGAACAAGCAATTTCTACCGTAATTCATTCCAACCCTCTTCAAATTTTTCGATTCAGTATCATAAAGCGGTGTAGAAGAAGATGCACAGGCTCTCTGGGCGTTCAGTTTCCACCATCCTTCGCGCCGGTGGCTGCAGGCGTTGCCGCAATGCTACTGCCTCAATTTCTTCTTCCAACATTTTCCACAAATCAGTATGTTTCGTAATAGAGAACAATATATGCAGACCTAAAGCTTTTTGTTGGGATTTATGGTATTAATTATTGGTGGTGTGTTGTTTCTTTCAAGCGAATCAGTGGCAGTGAAATTGAAAGTGAATTTGTTCTCTTTGGAGTTTTATTTTGCGGGATTTGTTGAATTATTTCCATTTTTGTAATAGTTTCTGATAGCAGTCCGTCTTTTTCGACCTTCAATTTCCAGTATGGAGAAAAAAGAAATTAAAAAAATTAAATGAAGGAAATAAAAAGAAAAGTTACAGCTATATTGTAGTCATCAGAGTAGAAAATTTGAAATTTGGTAAAAAGTTGTATCTTTTTTTTGAATTTAGTTGTTTGTACATTATGTTGTTTCATTTTTTTTGTCCTTACATGATGTTTGGATTTTTTTTTAATGTTATGTTAATTTTGTTTTTTCTGGGAAATTGTTGAGCAGGTGGAGGAGAATGATGAAAACGTGAGATGGTACTCGGTTTTAACCACCAGACAGATTAATTGTGGTAAACCCATTAAGCAATTAACTTTGGAAGCAGCCACCATTTGTTGAGAATCCGTTATGAATCTACTGCAGCCGCATCTGATTCCTCTTCCAATCCTCCACCTGAAAAGTATGAGTACCAAGCGGAGGTGAGCATCACTTGACCTGATTAACTGAATTATATGGGGAGAGCAATTTTATTTTTTCAATAACTAATTAGTAGTCTATTATGCAACAGGTGAGCCGGCTGATGGACCTTATTGTTAACAGTCTGTACAGTAATAAGGAGGTGTTTCTTAGAGAGCTTATCAGGCATGCCCTGGTTCTCTTTTCACCTTTTAGTGTATCACTACCAGCTGGTTTGGTTATACACGGTGCCTCCTTTTCCCATGCAGCATTTGTTGTTGTTGTTGGAGGGAAGAAATAAAGTTACTGTTGTGATGATGTTGTCAAGTTTTATTACTTTTCTTAATGATATCAAAATGAGTATTTTGGATTGTTTTAGAATTTAGTATGAGTTATGGGTGCTTTATGCTTCTGATGATCAGGTCTTTTGGAGACTTATCTTATGATACCTGTATATGTTAATCGCTGATATTATTTTATCATATTTAATTTATACCATGCTGATTGTGTATAACTGAAGCTTCTTATCAGGTTTAGAAAGGAATATTACACTCTCTTGACACAAATATGAATATTGATCTCATATACACAATTAGCCTGATATCAGCTGTTTTGAATTATAGCAATGCGAGCGATGCCTTGGACAAGCTGCGGTTTCTTAGTGTTACAGAGCCAGAGCTTTTGAAGGATGCTGTTGATCTTGATATTCGTATCCAAACTGATAAAGACAATGGCATAGTTACAATCACGTGAGTTGAATTCAGATTGTGCATTTTTTTCCCCCTTTCTGCTTTCAAATTGTCATAACATAAGTTGCTCTGTCCAGGGATACTGGAATTGGTATGACCGCGAGGAACTTGTTGACTGCCTTGGTACTATTGCACAAAGTGGAACAGCAAAATTCTTGAAAGCATTGAAGGTCACCTCCCCCAACTAAAACCGTGCTTTGTTGTCTTAATAGTTGAATGCAAGTATTTACTGTCACGTGTTTTGTTTTACAGGAGAGTAAGGATTCTGGTGGTGACAGTAATTTAATTGGCCAATTTGGTGTTGGATTCTATTCAGCTTTTCTTGTCTCTGAACGGGTAGGCATGCTATTTTGGAAATTACTTTGTCTTTAAGTTTGCAAGTCATGGCCTGGTGTTCTTGTAATTTTGTCTTAGATTGTCTGCCCTTGTCATTGAAAGGTTGAAGTTCGACTAAAAGCCCAAAATCTGATAAACAATATGTATGGGAAGGAGAGGCCAACTCTAGCTCCTATACCATTCGAGAGGAGACTGACCCTGCAAAGCTCGTTCCTAGAGGGACTAGACTTACTTTATATCTGAAGGTAGCCAGGTTACCCGTAATTGTTACATGTTTTCTCATGCTCGAGACATTCACAGTATATGTTTTGAACTCCTGCTTTGTTACGTTTAACCAGCGTGACGATAAAGGGTTTGCTCATCCAGAAAGAGTTCAGAAGCTTGTGAAGAACTACTCCCAATTTGTTTCTTTCCCAATTTACACCTGGCAAGAGAAGGGATACACAAAAGAGGTACAGTATCTCAAACTGTTTCTGGGGTATCGTTGATTGCTCCAATGGACTGCTCATCTCTCCCTGTGTCCAGCAGAAAGAAGATAAATATTATCGATTTCAACATGTTGGCTTCCATTTTTATTTCCTATACCCCTTGCACAGAAGGATGGTCAAGTGCTGCAATTGTCTAGTTGGCCAACCTTTTACTCTTGCCTTTCTGATATGAGCTTGTGGCTCTCTTGCAGGTTGAGGTGGATGAGGACCCATCTGAGGCCAAGAAGGATGATCAAGGTGACAAGACCGAGGTATTCATCTGCTACTGTTGCTGTAGTTCCACCATGGGTTACATGTTTATCTTTCTGACATCTTAATCCTTCATTTGTAACAGAAAAAGAAGAAGACCAAGACTGTTGTTGAGAAATACTGGGATTGGGACCTTACAAATGAGACTCAACCAATATGGGTCAGTCTCTAATCTGCTATCTATTATGCTAGCTATTGTTTGTGGGAATTCTAAGTAGCTCCTGCTTTTTGCAGCTTCGAAATCCTAAGGAAGTAAGCACAGAGGAGTATAATGAATTCTACAAGAAGACTTTCAATGAGTACTTGGAGCCTCTCGCATCAACTCATTTTACTACTGAGGTAGTTATAGATTCTAAAATAAGCTGAGGTCTGGTTCAAGGGTTTGGAAGAAAATGTAATTTTACAGATAAATAATAGGTTTGGGAAGAAGGTAGCTTAACTAACATGTATGATTATTGTTCGGTTAGTGAAATAATTTTGCTTACACAGTCTACTGCCCTTTTTGAATACATGTCTAATAACATTTGCCAAATTATTTCACAAAATAATAAGCACACTTTTGGTTCTCATGTGATGAAATAACTGATCATGGTTGCAGTAGAAAAGCAGAGGGTTTTGTGTAAATTATGTTTAATTGAACAAGATGACATCTTACAGGAAAAATTGGCTTTTCATTTATCCACCTGGATAATTCATGCTTCATTTGGATGCTGCAATTAATGGCCAATTAGTAAGCATTAACCCCTTCTTTCTGTGTGTGGTAGGGCGAAGTGGAATTTAGGTCCATACTTTATGTGCCTTCAATTGCCCCCATGGGAAAGGATGATATAATCAATCCCAAGACAAAGAATATAAGGCTCTATGTCAAAAGGGTGTTCATTTCAGATGACTTTGATGGTGAATTGGTAAGAAAGCAAGAAGTGCTTAGTTTGAGATTACTGCAGGCTCTACATAAATGATATCTGATAGGCATCCCTCTCCTGTGAATGTACAGTTCCCACGGTACTTGAGCTTCATCAAGGGTGTTGTGGACTCCAATGACCTCCCTTTGAATGTCTCGCGTGAAATCCTTCAGGAAAGTCGTATTGTAAGTGCTATGAATTATTTCTTCATTTCATGTGTATTTTGTTGGTTACAGGAATAATCTCATTTTTTCTTTTTTTTTTGGGGGGGGGGGGGGGGTGTTGGGGTGGGGCTTTGTATTTGGTTATCTATTTTTTACGTAATTTTTCTTTTTTCTTATATTTTTGGGTCTTCTGACAACTTTTGTACTAATGATCTTCTATTTGCTTGCGTGAAAGATACGTATCATGAGGAAGCGCTTGGTCCGCAAGGCATTTGATATGATCAATGGAATAGCAATGAGCGAAAATAAAGATGTATGTTTACTGTCTCAGGATTTTCTTAGTGAAGAATTTCCCTTCTTACAAGGATATTTCTTGGTGGAAATAGAAGTCATTCATTCCATTATTCTGACTTCAAAAGTGAACTACAACTTGTATCTTTTGTTTGAGACTTTTTTTTCTTTTTTCTTTTGTCTTTTAATCTTCCCCCAAACTTTGTTGATTTAGCTCAACCATTCTTTGAACAGGATTATGATAAGTTCTGGGAGAACTTTGGCAAACACATTAAACTGGGCATCCTTGATGATAAAGAAAATCACAAGCGCCTTGCGCCACTCTTGCGATTCTTCTCATCTCAGAGTGAGGATGTTCCAATAAGCCTGGACGAGTATGTTGACAACATGAAGCCAGAGCAGAAGAACATTTATTACATTGCTGCTGACAGTGTAAATAGTGCAAGGAACACCCCTTTCTTGGAGAAACTTCTTGAAAAGGATCTTGAAGTATGAGCTCTCGCTTTGAATATATATATCTATTTATTTATTTGCAGAAGTGTTCTTGCTTCATGGTATTGTGCACTTTCTTGTTTGTAGGTGTTATTCTTAGTTGATCCTATCGATGAGGTTGCTGTCCAAAATCTTAAAGAATTCAAGGATAAACAGTTTGTTGACATCAGCAAAGAAGATTTGGATCTAGGTTAGTGTATTTTAATATTCTCATTTAACTTTTGGTTTACTTAGGGTGGCAATATGAATGCTGGTTAACTGTTTACTTTGGCTAGGTTAACTTTACTTTTGTATGAACTTTTTAGTAAGCAATATGTAATTCTTCAATGAATATGGTTACATGATACTTGTTTTCCTGGAAATTGATCCTTTTTTCTCTTAATTAGATATTTTACCTTTTCTTTTTTTCTTCTTTTTTTTTTTGCCATTCTATTCATCTTTGTTTAAGTGGAAATCTAGATAATCTAATTTATCCTTTTTTTCTCTTAACTGAGTGTCTTATGTACGTTTTTGGCATTTAATTTGTTCTTTGTTTTAATTGAAATTTAGCTTAATTTGTTCCACATTTTGTATTGTATGGTTGACGTAGAGTGTTTGGTATCTTAAATGTTTAAATACTTTTAGGTGAGAAAAATGAGGAGAAGGAAAAAGAGATGAAGCAGGAATTTGGTCAAATTTGTGACTGGATAAAGAAACGGCTGGGTGAGAAAGTTGCAGGAGTCCAGATCTCAAATCGCTTGAGCACGTCACCTTGTGTTCTTGTGTCGGCAAAGTTTGGTTGGTCTGCTAACATGGAGAGGTAACTTAGGTTAATTTTTCTTCCAGTGCTGACATTTATTTTAGGGAAAATGGCCATTTTCGTCCCTAAACTTTTTTTTTCCGTCGATTTAGTCCCTAACTTTTATTTTTGGCCAATTTAATACATGAATTTAATTTTCGGATCCAATTAAGTCCTTCTACGGCGGCGCCACCACCTTTAGCTCCTAATTTAACATTAAACAAGGGCATTTTGGGAAATGCAAATTATCTCTTCTCTGCTACCCGTCTCTGCCACCAACAACCCATCTCCTCCTTCTTCTCTTCTCCTTTTCTTTCCATCCACCTTTGAGTTTACATTATAATTGAGAAAGTAGAAGAGAAAATCTGCAAATGTAGGTGAATGGTTCCCCAATATTTCAGTCCTTAAGGGTCTATCTTTTTTATTTCTCTGGAGCATGACCTTGTAGCTTTAGGTCTCAACCATGCTGCTTTTTTGAAAAGGGGTTTGCAGATGTGGCTAAAATCTGCAAAGCAAATGATAATAAGTATATTACACGCAAATTACTTCAGACTAATAAGAATAAACGGCTCTGAGTAACAGGAAAGCAACCTTTAACATCTTCACTCTCCAAAAGCTTTACAACAAGGTGGCCTCCAGGCAGCAGAATCCCACGATGCTCTGGATCAAAACCAGAGCCATCTGATTGTTCCTTTTGTTCAACACTATTATCAGATTGCACGAAGGAATTTTCTTATATATTCAGGTGAAATGCATCAAAGAGAACAAATTCAGCTTTGAGAGAGAGTCATTCACGATTTTTAGATTTCAAAGAGGGTTCAGCGGCAGCGGCGATGCCGATTACTTTGGAAGAGGGTTCAGCGGAGATTCATCTTTGGAAGTTCGCTCAGGGAAAGATGGCTTTACACGAGATGAACATCCGGCATTACACGAGCTGAAATTGGATTTCTAGGCATATGGTTGTTCAAACCACGCACATCCCATGAACTATTTGGTGGAAAATTAAGAGGTCGAAAATAAGGCGCTTGAACTGGTAGTGGTGGTGCAATAGAAGGCCCAACAGTTGGTGCAGATATATGTGGAATGCTTCGTGGTCCAGAATACAGTTCTGCTTCTGGCTTTCTGTACATCCACATCAGTTCAGCAGAACTTGAAACAACATGACCCCCTTAGCATGAACAAAATGGCCATTTTCCCAATAAAATATTTTTAGTGTTTATGTTTTACTGGTGTTGCTGGTATTCCAAAATCGCCGATCAAGGAGGAGATGGGTTGTTGGTGGCAGAGAAGAGATAATTTGCATTTTCCAAAATGCCCTTGTTTAATGTTAAATTAGGAGCTAAAGGTGGTGGTGCCGCCGTAGAAGGGCTTAATTGGATCCGAAAATTAAATTCATGTATTAAATTGGCCAAAAATAAAAGTTAGGGACTAAATCGACGGGAAAAAAAAGTTCAGGGATGAAAATGGCCATTTTCCCTTTTTTTTAAGTTAGTTTAGTTTTGTAACTTGTTAAGTGATTTCATCTATTTGCAGGCTTATGAAAGCACAAACTATGGGTGATTCCTCCAGCTTGGACTTTATGAGAAGCAGGAGAATCTTTGAAATAAATCCTGAACATCCAATCATCAAGACATTAAATGTATGAGAATTTGTTGGACAAAGCTAACTTTGTTGAACGGTTTAAACACTTTCTTATTTTGATCGTGCATCTACTCAAAAGACATTTTTTTTCCTGATCTTGCTAATTTCTGAATATTGCAGGCTGCATGTCAGAGTAACCCAAATGATGAAGAAGCATTGAGAGCTGTTGATCTGTTATATGATACTGCTGCTGTTTCAAGTGGTTTCACTGTAAGTAATTATTAACTTATTTTCAGTGGAAATTGTTCTCTTGGAATATTATAGTAAAACATTTTGGTTTTGGCTTTAAAGTATTGGACTAGAAATGATGTCAAGTTGTAATTGGGGTAGACGCACCTTAATTGAAGCCCAGAAGGTATCTGAATGTGCTTCAACTGATAATGCCGAAGGCAGTTTTGTCACAATATGCATCAAGCTTGGGTGCTTGAAGAATTTTGCTGAGGCAGTTTGGCATTTTTCAGTCTAGTTTGTTTTTGGCTTTAGCAAGCTAGTATGGTATCGTGTATTCGTGGTGACTGACATTTTGACATACAATACCTCAATAACCTGTAGGATAGGTTCCTTTGGGGCATACTTAGCCCACTAGGTATTGATCATTCTAGTTTATGCACCACTACTGATGTGATCTACTTAGCCCATTAGGTATGACACATTTCCATTTTAAAGATACATATGGGATCTAAAGAAAGAATAATGACTTAATAGGTGATCCAAAACTGATATGATCAGGTTCTCTCATACTGAATATGATGTCATATTCTCTCTTGTGAGCCTATTCTGCGTGATCCCTCCTTCCCATGATTTTTGTCCGCCCATTTTTCTTGATGTCCCAAATTGATTTTCTGCTTCAGAAATTTGAAATGTGATCAAAACAGGAAACATTTGCTACTTAGAATGTAACATTTGTTTTCTTGTATAATTAAACTTCTATGCTTGTGATTATATGTGTAATGTGAAATATCCAGTGATTCTTGGTTTTTATTTAATCTTGACATTAGATATTAATTTCTTGTGCGAGATGTTTGATCTATCTTGTTGGTTTCGCTGGTGGTTGAAAATGTAGTTCAAAAATCTGAAGGTGTTTGGTATTGACAAGAAACACCACTGTTACCCTTATTATGGTGTCTTTTTTTCCCCCACCCTTAGAAGACCTGTTTTCAATTCTGCCTTTGTGATTGGATGCAGCCTGAAAATCCTGCACAGCTTGGGGGAAAGATCTACGAAATGATGAGCATGGCTCTTTCTGCAAAATGGGGAACATCTGCTGGCGAGTTCAAACGGCAAACGACCTCCTCAACTTATGTCCCAGAGACAATTGAGGCAGAGGTAGTAGAGCCAGCTGCTGAAGTGCAGAAATAATTGTCGAGTCGCCTTTCACAGATGTAACATATTTTTGTCGCTAGGTATATTGGTATTTAGATTTGACAACCTGCCATGATTCTACTAGGCAGGTTTGAAGTATGAATCAGGTGGAACCTTGAGTTTCATTGGCAATTTTGTTCATAGACTAATTTGTCTGTTCCATTTTTAGTCGTCTAAAAACAAATACTAGTATGTTATTTAAGCTACGACTTTTTTGGTCAATATGCCTATACTGTAGCCCATGTTGTTTTCTTCCTATTCTTTTTGGGAATCCATGGTTTTGTTTTGGGGTGGTGTTCCTCAAAGCAAACTGGTGAAGTACAAGTTTGTCTTTTTGAAATAGGGGTCTCTGTTCATTGATCTAGTGTATACTTCAAAAACAAATTGATATTACGTTATAATGGGAATTAACTGTAGTGGAAGATGGAGCTGTTATTTCTGAAGTAGCTCGAACCTGTAATTTGATAATCTGAAACCTTTACGAGGGTGTAGATACGCAACAGCGGCGGTGGTGTGTTATATTTACTTCCAGAAGGGTGGTGGTATATTATATTTACTTCGAAAAGGGCTTCTTTGTGATTGGGGTATAAAGAATATCGAGTACGATTATATTTATGCGTATATGATTTGCTTTGGATTACTTTTAATGATTAATTCAAAAATTTATTCTTTATTAGTGTAGCTAACTAGAGACTCTTATTGACTTTTTATATGATCTTTGTTTTTCTAGTTAGCTTGTAACTAATTTTCTTAATTTATTCCAAAAATTGTTTTCTAATTTATTCTTTGATAAAAAAAATGTTCCATGTAGCCTTGTTTAGCTGATTAATATATTATAATTTGATAAAACATGAGGTTTACCTACAATCTTGTTTTATTTGATAAATATATTATAATTTGATAAAAAGTAAGGATTATTTTTACTCAAACAAATGATTTTCTCAATCACAATCTCTTTATTCCTAGCATAAAAGCAATCCACCTTATGCCAATTTTCTTATTATTTGTAAGATAGGTTGTCTCTTTCCCTTTTTAATAGTAAAGTAATTCCAAAGTCCCTACCTTCAACTAAGTGAACTTTCACTTTTCAGATCAGTACTGCTTTTTTTTGTTTCTTTTTTTTTTTTTTGTTCCCATTAGAATTAGCTTTATTCACTAGTCAATCTTATGATAAGAATAAAAATCGATCTTGTGCTACATTCTATTGATCTCTTTTTGCTCAAGGCATGTAGACTCCTTTTGTATCTCAAAATTTCAAATCACATTCCATAAATCAAGAGGGAGGAAAGTCTACTGTCTTGTTTGGCAAGCAAGTTTTTAACCAAGTTTATCTGCTATAAGTTTTTTAAACAATTTTAACTACTGTAATTTTAAAAAATTTCTCAAAAATTTTAAATTATATATTTTAAAATATTTAAAAATTTACATACTTCAAAAAATTTACAACTTCTACAGTAAAATTTTAAACAAACTTCTAAAAAGTTCACTTATCAAATGGAGCCTACATTAAAAGAAAGTTTCTCATACAACTTTTCTTTCATAGGTTCACCCCTCTATTAATGAAGGCAAGGCAAGTGCTACTTCTAGTGCTAAGCAAAGCATAGAAAAGCTCTCATGTGTGCAATAGATTGAATAAAGATAAAAAAACAATGGGTCTCGGCCTTTTTTTTTTTTTTTAAATAACTATATTTTGGAATTGAAATTCTAGATATTAGAATTACAAAATCTACGAAAAGTGCTAAAATTTATTAACTTTAATAGACGGGAACAATGGCTTAGGGGCGTCTTAGACTTTTGGTTTATCTTATGGTACGGATGCATTCTATATTTTGTTAGCACTGATGGACCAGCATGGGACCAAATTGTGCCATTTTGAATATGTTTGGACAATGGTGCAACATTTGAAAAAATGTAGGACTAAAACCAGTACAAGTTGCTAATGTGAGGGACCATATTGAGAAATCTCCACAAAATAATATTAAATAAAATAAACAAAATATCGCATCTTCGTTCTCGACGGATCTGAAATACTTAGTACTGTTGACTTCTCTCTCCCCCTTCCCTCTCAATGATTACAGCAGCAAAGATTGTGTCTTTCTGAATATTCTTCTTCTTCTCTCTCTCTCCCTCCTTCTGTTTCTTGAATTAGTTAAATGGTTTGATTTTTGTGATTAGACTTTGGATTTGGATTAGATAGATTCTCTCTCTTTAGTTTGCTTGCTATTTTATCACTGTATCCTTAATACAAGAATGGCCCAAATCTGATAAAAGCCATGAGGAAGAAACTTGATACCCGCTTCCCTGCAGTAAGTTTGCTATGTTTTTTGTCTTTTTCCTTTTTTCTTTTTTCTGTTCTTTTAATTGGGTTCTTTTGTCCGATTTTATGTGTTGTTTATGTCTTAGATTGTGATGTGACTGAAGTTCATTTCTCTTTTTCCTTTTGTTATCTATTTGAGTCATTTTTAGGGGTATTCTGAAATGGGTTTATGGGATAGGTGTGACTTTGAAATCATTACCACTCGATTTTTCCAAGTGGAATTTCTGAAGTATGGATAGAAATTTGCAAATTTATTTGGTTACTGAAAATTATAGTTGTTGGCGATCCTTTTTTCTTTTCTTTTCTGCGTGAAATTTGAGCACCTGCTGATTCTGGATTATCTGAAATTGCCATGGTTTATGAGCTGGTTTCTGAATTTTAAAGTTTACCAGGTTTCTCATTAGCCGGCATCCAAGTTCAGTTCTTTATTTAAACTTAGCTTGTTTAGTTGGAAGTAATTTATCAAAGAGTTTTTGTGACGACATTTTTGTCTCACATGAATGTTTATCCAACATGTGGCATCGGTAAATTCTTTTAAAAACTTTTCAAAGAACGGCAACAGAAAAGCTCCTGAAAGAAAATCATTACTGAAACCATTTCATTTACTGTAATAAATGGAAGTATTACTGCTCCTATGTTTGCAACTCTAAATTATCATACAGTCGAAAAAAATCTGAAATTATGTCCAAGATAATGAGAATTATGGGCTAGATAACTGATTATGGGAATAAATACGTGAATGCATAAATTATAAGTCCATTCTTTTCATGCTAAATGGTAGTGCAGAAAAAAAATCTCTTAATGACCTTACTTGGTTTTTTGCCCATAGCTTGGTGCTGGAATATTTTATTTGAGGCCTTTTATATAGGGTCTTTTGAAGGACCAAAGAAAGATTTATCTTTCTTTCATGGGAAATTACCTTTTTCTTTCACCAAGTCTGTCAAGATTTTTTACTATAAACATTGAGAGCTATAAAAGTTACAGGGTTGGCATGGGTAAGGCACCTTTTTTTGCATTCTGGATAATGTGGGAGTAAAAGTTTCATGTTTTGAATTAAGGGAAGACCATGCTTTGGACATGGGTCTTGACATCTGCTATAATTGCAAAATAGGTGCATGTGTATTTTGAAACCGTTGTGTAAAGTGTAAAAATATCCATCAAGCATTTCTCAATGTGAAAATGGACAATATGCTTCTATTGTGATTTGGCAGGCTGGCAATTACATGTCTTGTTGTGAACTATATATGATTTGTGAAGAATCACTGTGCACATTTCAATAGTCTGCTAGATATTGCCATTTGCCAAGGACCCTTTTGGGATTTTGCTTGGCTTTATCTAATTATCAGCTTATGGACTGTGCTTGCTGCTGTTCATATTGAGATCAATGTATGACTGCCCATTCAAATCATGAGTGGCTAGTATGCCTTTGCTTTTGTTTTATTACTGGAGTTGGAATTGGCTTAGGCTTAGCCTCTGCTACCAGTTCTTTGTCTACTATGAAATGGCAAAGTTAATACGTCAACTCTGGTGATAAAATTTGACTCTTTAATCTTTTAAATGAGAAGAACTTTTTGCTTTTTTTGGCAAAATCTTATTTGAGATTTTCTCAAGTACATTTGCTTTATCTCATGAAATTCTACTTTGCAGGCCCGGATAAAAAAAATTATGCAAGCTGATGAAGATGTTGGGAAAATAGCCATGGCTGTACCTGTTTTAGTTTGTATGATTGCTGTTACTGGTTAACGATTTTAACTATAAGTCCTTTTCCGTTCATCTTTGGGAATTCATTACTTCTGCTCTTTTGATTATAATGCAGCCAAGGCTTTGGAATTATTTCTTCAAGACCTTTGTGATCGTACCTACGACATTACGCTCCAAAGAGGAGCAAAGACTGTTAGTTCATTGCATTTGTGAGTGCATTTCTCATCCTTTACACCTCATGGTTAGATCTGGACAATGATATCATAATATAAGTTCCAGATACAAGTTGCTGACGTTGGTGTCCACTTCTTAAATTTCTTTATCCCTAGTGATCTTTTGGCTTGAGGATCATTTTATGTCTGTATGAGATCATCTGGTTTATCTGTGTACAACAACTTTTGGAACCCCAACTACTTGTTCATATGGTTTCTTTTGAAGCTTTCATTGTCCTAAATGAGCATCCAATTTTTTATCTCTTATGTGGCCTGCATGCTTAAATTTCCAAAAGATGCTACTCTGACTGCTTTTGGTGCTTTGGGAGTTCTTTAGTCTCCTTTTTGTCACCTTCCTAAGGCCTTGGATATGCTATTAAAAAATTGAATTTATTTGTGGATGTTACAATGTAATGCTCAGCAAGCATTTCCTTTTCTTTTTGTAAGTGATTTTAACTTGAATTGAAGGCCTTCTGGGGTTTCCATAATCAGGACTGCAGAAAATTTAGACAGATGAGCTAAGGTGAATAAAATTTAATAAATCTCATGGAGCTGCTTTACACCTGCTATTAGATGCATCTTGCTCTCCCAATCTAGCTGAAGAATTCTAGCACTACATGAAACTTTTCTGGAGCTGAATGGATGGTGTCTTCTAGGAAAATATTTGTTTCCAGAACAGAAAGAGTGTTTCCCATTTCAACTTAGACTGATAATTTAATTCCTGTGCTGTAGTACTGCAGTATCAAAGCTAGTTCAAACTAGTTATGGATGCTTAGCCTGATTCATGATACAAAGAAACAAGTGAATAAACAAATCAGATGAAATATGAAAATTTCATTGAGTCTGAGTCTTCTAAGTATCCTTGATGGCCCAGCTGAAATTTCAAAATTTCAAGTTAGAAATTTTGATTGAGTCTGAGAATTCTAAAGAATATTGACAGCCAAAAATCTTGCAGAACTCTGAAGAACCATGAATCGAGTTTCAATGGAGGTTGGCAAATCTGCTTGCTTGAACTTTCTCTTTTCTAGTTAATGCTGAGAGTTGAGCCCTGAATTTTCTGTCAAGGTCTTTTGTAAAATTTAACCAATTGATGCCGTTTATTCCTATTTTTCCCGACTACAATCAGTAGGTTGACATCATTTCCATTGGTAAGATAATTCTGATAGCTACTGCCTTTCTTTGTCATAGATTG